TAAGCTGGGACATTTGTTTAGGATTAGGAGTAGAAGAAGATTACCAATATTAACCATAGTGGGCCAGGTTGAGAAGGTGGTGGTGGTGAAAGAATTGTTGCAGTTAAAAATAAATTTGGGATTACCATTTTGAAGTGAGTTGGAGGAGGATAAAAGTGCTGGCTTTAATGTGATGGCAGTTGGAAGAAATAAACTTGGATAGAGTCACAGAGTCATGGAGATATACAGCACAGAAACAGACCCTTCAGTCCAACTCATTCATGATGACCAGATATCCTAAATAAATCTAGTCCCACTTGCCAGCATTTGGCCCATATCCCTCTAAACCCTTCCTATTCATATACCCATTCTGATGCCTTTTAATTATTGTAATCATACCAGCCTTCAACACTTCCTCCGGCAGCTCATTCCATACATGCACCACACCCTGCATGAAAACGTTGCCCCTTAGGTCCCTTTTAAATCTTTCCCCTCTTACCTTAAACCTATGCCCTCTAGTTTTGGACTCCCTCATCCCGGGAAAAAGACCTTGCCTATTTACCCTATCCATGCTCCTCATGACTTTTTAAACCTCTCTAAGGTCATCCCTCAGCCTCTGATGCTCCAGAGAAAATAACCCCAGTCTATTGAGCCTCTCCCGATAGCTCAAACCCGCCAACCCTGGCAACATCCTTGTAAATCTTTTCTGAACTCTTTTTAGTTTCACAACATCCTTCCTATAGGAGGGAGATCTGAATTGTACGCAATACTCCAAAAGTGGCCAAACCAATGTCCTGTACAAACGGCACATGACCTTCCAACTCCTTTACTCAATGCACTGATCAATAAAGGCAAGCATATCAAACACCTTCTTCACTATCCTATCTACCTGCAACTCCACTTTCAAGGAACTATGAACCTGCACTTCCCAGGTCTTTTCATTCAACAACTCCCCAGGACCTTACCATTAAGTGTATAAGTCCTGCCCTGATTTGCTTTTCCAAAATGCAGCACCTCACATTTATCTAAATTAAACACCATCTGCCACTCCTCGGCCCATTAGACTAACTGATCAAGATCCCGTTGTACTCTGAGGTAACTTCTTCGCTGTCCACTACATCTCCAATTTTGGTGTCATCTGCAAACTTAGTAACCATACCTTCTATGTTCACATCCAAATCACTTATATAAATGACGAAAAGCAGTGGACCCAGCACCAATCCTTGTGGCACACCGCTGGTCACAGACCTTCAGTCTGCAAAGCAACCCTCCACCACCACCATCTGTCTTCTCCTTTTGAGCCAGTTCTGTATCCAAATAGGTAGTTTTCTCTGTATTCCGCGTGATCTAACCTTGCTAACCAGTCTACCGTGAGAAACCTGATCGAACTGCTTACTGAAGTCCATATAGATCACATCCACCACTCTGCCCTCATCAATCCTCTTCATTACTTCTTCAAAAAACTCAATCAAGTTAGTGAGACATGATTTCCCCATGCACAAAGCCATGTTGACAATCCCTAATCAGTTTTTGACTTTCCAAGTACATATAAATCCTGTCCCTCGGCATTCCTTCCAACAACTTGCCCACCACCAATGTCAGGTTCACCTCTCTATAGTTCCCTAGCTTTTCCTTACTGTCTTTCTTAAATAGTGGCACAATGTTAGCCAATCTTCAGTCTTCCATCACCTCACCCGTGGCTATCAATGATACAAATGTCTCAGCAACAGGCGCAGCAATCACTTCCCTAGCTTCCCACAGAGTTCTAGGGTACACTTGATCAGGTCCCAGGGATTTATCCATCTTTATGTGTATTAAGATGTTCAGTACCTCCTCTTCTGTAATATGGACATTTTTCATGATGTTGCTATTTGTTTCCCCACGTTCTATATTTTCCATATCCTTCTCCACAGTAAACACCGATGCAAAATCCTCATTTAGTATCTCCTCCATCTCCTGCAGTTCCACACATAGGTGGCCTTGCTGATCTTTAAGGGGCCATCATCTCTTCTCTAGTTACCCTTTTGTCCTTAATGTATTTGTAGAATCCCTTTGGATTCTCCTTAACCCTATTTGCCAGAGCTATCTCAGGTCCACTTTTTGCCCTCCTGGTTTCCCTCTTAAGTATACTCCTACTGCCTTTATACTCTTCTAGTGATTCACTCAATCCCTGTTGTCTATAGCTGACATATGCTTCCTTCTTTTTCTTGACCAAATTTCAAGATGGTTGAAATAGTTGTATATAAAATAATCAAAGATAAAAACACAATTCTTGATAAATAATATGGAGTAGCAAAGCAACAGAACACAGATCACTAAAAGTATTAATGCAAGTTCATAAGTTTATAGAAAAGCAAATAAAGCACAGCAGTTCATTTCTAGAGGAATGAAATTAAGAAATAGACTTTAGGAAATATAGTGTGACAGAGATCTTGCTCACTGACTGGACAGCTGATGAGAACTGCATGCTACCAGCTTTTTTGGAAAGCCTACAATATGAAGTGCCATTAATTGGGTAATGGCTGGCCTACCCCAGGATAGAAGACCCCAGTAGCAGATAGGGTCATAGAGTCATAAAGGCATACAGCACGGGATGAGCTGCTAATCAGGGACTGGCAACTCTAACTGTATTGCCAGCAGATAAGCGCTGTTTGCTGCCAGTTCAACATATACCCAAGGCCTTATCTAACCACTCAACCGCAGGCTACTGGTGAGTGATGTTGGCTTGCAGGGTGGGAGTCAGAAGGGAGGACAGTGGAAGGAGTCGGGTGATCAGCAAGAGCAGGGGTGGTTCTCAGATGGCTTTTACTACCCTCTTTCCTGATTTTTTTTAAATTGCAAAAATATACTTTATTCATAAGATATCTTTATATACATACACAGTTACTGAAGTGTTTCTGAACAGTTTTTGCACATGAATAATAAACAAACATTGGAATTTGGTATTCCCTATAGCTGTAAAAAAACCCAAGGCATTTCTTACTTACACAATGTTATACTTACACATACATTTGAGGCACTGAGGGGGCCTGATAACTGAATGGACTCCCATTGTACTTTGACAGAAAGACATTAGACAGTGGTCTTTCCGGATGTTGAGGTTGCCAACCCAGAAGGAAACTGTTCCAGGAGATTTTTTTCACTGAACAAGATGATGTCATCAACTGACATTTAACATGTTATTTCCAAACCCATGCACGATAAAGCAATCAGTTTTTGATTTAGTGAGAATGAGGGGTGTAAGGAGTGTATTTATTTCACCTGTGTCTTTGTTTTAATATTAAAAAGGTACAATACACAAAAGGCAAAGCAGAAGCACATCTGATTTTATTCCATTCATGTGTTATTTATTCTGTGAGTTATCTTTATCATTCAAACAACATGAAGCTTCAGATATGACATCAGCGAAGCAAGGAACTAGAAGCAATGTTCCCTCTTACCTTGAATCTTGACTTTTCAGTCTAGGTCCCTTGTTCTGCAAGTTCTATCTCTCCTAACTCAAGGATTGCTTCCTCACAGACTCGGCACTGATTCGAAAATAGATATTAGCGATAAATAAAGTATGCTTGGGTAGCCACAAAGTACATGTCATTATGCTGCACCTACATGGGAATGCTGCCTGTCAATGTAATCACCCATCTCTTATTAGGCAAATGGACTCAATTAAATAGAGGTGCTCAATATTATTTAATTGGAGAAAGACTGCAAAAAGTTACAGCACAGAGGAATTTTGGACTCCTCATTTATGAATCAGAAAAAACTAGCAAACAAGTTCAGAAGGTAATAGGGAAGGCAAATGGAATATTGGCCTTTACTTCAAAAGGAATAGAGTATACATATAGGGAGGTCTTGCTAAAACTACATATAGCACTAGTCAGACCACAGCTAGAATACTGTGAACAATTTTGGTACCCTTATCTAAGGAAAGATATACTGGCGTTAGAGGCAGTCCACAAAAGGCTCTGAGGAAGGGTCACCGGACCCGAAACATTAACTCTGATTTCTCTTCACAGATGCTGCCAGACCTGCTGAGCTTTTCCAGCATCTTCTGTGTTTGTTGGTGTGTAATAACATATCTGAACAGGTTAATTGGAAAAATAAAGGATATTCTATTAAAATTGTTGCTATGTTAGTACTTGGGGATAATAATTTCAAGATTGTCAGAAATAGGGCTAGGAAAGAGATGAGGAGAAACTTCTTTCCTCAGAGAGTTGCTTGGATTTGGAAGGCACTCCCTTGGAAAGTGGTGGAGGCGAATTCCATGGGAGGTTTTAAAAGAGAACTAGGTATATATTTGAAAGTGATAAATTTAGAGGGCTGCAGAAAAAGGGCTTGAGAATGGGATTAGATGGCTAGCTCTTTTAGCAGCTGGTACAGACACAATGGACCAAATGGCCCACCTTCTGCACTGTAAAATTCTATGATTCTGTGTTAGGGGCCCAGAATAACAACGGACAGGAAGGAATTAAAGTTATTTGTCAATAAGATTGAGCTGAATGACCTGTTTCTGGGCTACGCAATATTCTATAAATGTAATTGCCTGAAATTAAACTATAGAACGAGATGATAATCAACGTTCAAATTTGAGAAGGCACTTTGAGGATATTCATCAGGAAAGTCTTCATCACAGCATGGAAATAAAAATGTCAAATGATCTGCAAACAATGACCTTATTAAGCATTAGAATGCAGAAATAGCATCTGATTAAGCAGTGCCTCAGGGACGAAAGGGAAAATAAACTGAACGCTAATGTTTATCTCTCTAGGTGGGATTAATAAAATTTATTAAAATGTTGCTTTCATCACTCATGATAATCTTGCAAGCTAGTTCAAAGTTGACTTTATTTTAAAAAAGAATCACAACATGTGTAAATTAATTTCAACCAGAAATGAGTGACATAAAAAAGAAAAGTTGTTTCTTAAAATGAGAATGACACTTTACATGTTTTGTTTGGATCAGAGTGATATGAACCTCACAGGCTTTAATTGTGCTCGATTTTGATGTAGGCCCCGAAACTATAGCAACCCCTTTAGGGAGCGGGGCCGGGGAGGCGACCGCGCAAAAGCGGAAGTTCGCGTCAATGAGGGAATGAGCTGTTTATTTTCCTTAATTTTTACCGGTCTGGCGGTTTCGTTTGTGTAAAATGTGACCGATTCCAGGATCGCTTTTGGTATCGACTAGGGTCAGCGCGTGTGAGCGGTACGAGGAAAAGCCCGGGGTGAGACGGCTTCCCTCAGTCAGCGCAACGCCGACCTGCTTCATGTGAATACAATAGGACAAATGACAGGCCAGGAATACAGCAGGAGGGAGCGCCTAGAATAGGACAGTATCAAGGGGAGCAAGGATTCTGTATTCAGAAAAATAATAGTTGTTACATAACTTGCCCCTGTTTTTAAATCTTAGGTTCTTGAGTAATCCCAGTTTTTTTTTCACTATCCTTCAGATTTTGCTCCCTTCTTGGCTTCGAGCTGGTGTACAGATCAATGGCAGCTGGTTGTCCTCTGGCACTGTGTCCATGTAGCCTTTCATCGTGTGTGAGTCCAGACTGTGAGTATGCACAGAACATTACGTTGCATGACAGCTGACCCCATCTAGTCCTGTTCTCACCGCTCCATACACCTTCCAGCAGGAGCTGCTGATAATCAGTAGTAGAGTTATTCTCCCATCATTAAGACAGTGCACTTGTACCAATTGTATTGAATTTAGGAATCTAACAGCAGAACCTGGAATGAAACCTAGGATCTTATAGTGTGTGTGTTTCAGCTACTCATTGTACCTGATTGTTTTCATTTGAATAGCTGTAATTTTAAATATGTTTAATATATTGGATGATTTAAGGTGGTTGCTGTAATCCTGGAATTCCCGTTCAAAGAGTATTGTAAGTGTATACCCCAAGGATTGCAGTGCTTCAAGAAGGCAGATCACCACCACCTTTAAGTGGGCAATTAGGAATGGGCACTAATGCTGGCCTAGCCATCAATGCCCATGTCCCCTAGAATGATTTTAAGAGAGTTTTTGCCAGTTGGGCATTAAACATCCTTAACTCACTACCATGCAATATATCCTGCCTATGCAGGAAAATACCCATCTTGCACGTAATGCCTCTTTTTCATATTCAGGTGTAGAACTGAGCAGATTGAATCTTTATCCAGTAATCTTAGTAACCTCTGTGTTTATCCATTGAGTAGCTGAGCTGTTGTACCAGGCAGGCCTCTGGTTTGAAACTGACTCATTATTTGATTTGGTTGGTCCTAGCAATCGGTGCTGCAATCAAACTTAGTGAATCTCGGCTAAGAATGGAAAAATCAACCAAGGTTCCTAAATTGCTGGAAAGCATCAGTATGTGATTATAAATAAGTTTAGTTGAGTAGCCTGCTAACACTGCCCACATGCAGATGTTAACTGCAGGTACAGTACCTGAAATCTGGTAGTCTAAAAACCAGAGTTGTCCAGGAACCAAACATTTTTGAAATGGCACAGTCAGGGTCTGGTTTAGGTTCATGGTCTGTATTATTAATTATGCTGCACTTCAGTCTTTTTCCCCAGTTGTCTTCCTTCATTTTGGCTTTGTCCAGATTATCTCCTGCATTAAGAGGAGCTTCAGCTTTTTACTCCCAGTCTTCTAGGGGGATCTTTTCCTTGGACTTTCTGTGGTTTTGGTTCTTCTCCACCAGGGAGCAATCAAATATGATTGAGTGGATGGCGATGGGGTGAGAGAAGTACATGACTGCTGGAGAATGCAATATGGTTTCACCAGCCTCAGGATCACTACTGACATCTGCATCCAGAGAGGATGATCAGTTTTTGACACGTTGCTCCTTTATTTGCATGTCAGTTCTGGGCCCAAAGAAACATCGATAGAAGCGCCTACCTTGGGGTTAACCTGAATCCCAATTTAGTATTTGCTTGAGGGTCTTTATTTTGTTTAGTCACTGTATAGGAGGTACACCCAAAATCTGGGAAAATCTGAATTTTAGCAAAGTCTCAGGTTCCAAGGTTGGCAAATTTAAGGTACTGCACCTGTTTAGGAAACCTTCTGAGGCATATGAAACCCTAATCTGGAAAGGAAGAGTTTTCCCAGAAGTATATAAGATTCTTAGAGGACTTGACAGGGTAGATACTGAAAGATTATTTCCCTGTATAGGACCAGAGGGCATAATCTCGGAATTAGGGGTCGCATATTTAAGACAGTCAAGGAGGAATTGCTTCTCTCAGAGGGTGGTGAATCTGTGGAATTCTTTATTACAGAGGGCAGTTGAGGCTCAGAAATTAAATATGTTCAAGGCTGAGATTTTTAATCTGTAAGAGGATCAAAGGTTATGGGATAAAGGCAGGAAGCTGAAGATTATCAGATCAGCCATGATCCCATTGAATGGCAGAGCAGACTTGATGGGCTGAATGACCTACTTCTGCTGCTACGCCTTATGGTCTTATAATGGCATGTAAGGCACAAAAAGCGTGAGCTTGTGTCTGATTTCGTAGTTAGTTTTCCTGGAACAGGTTGCTAGCCTGAAACCAGAGGCTATAACTTCAGAAGCACCACTCCATATCAGTCATGGCTGAATAGGAAACTCTCCCACTCTGACTGCCCGTCATAGGTGTACTGGAAGGATTTACAGGTTAATAATCTGTTTGTCCAAGTTATTGATGCATCACCCATAGCCATCAAGTCCTGGAGTGGAACTCAGTCCTGGAGCTTCTGGCTTGAATGTACGAATGCTACCACAGTGCCACAGGTTTAAAATCAAGAGAAGAGGGAAGGAAATAAGTGAATCCCTTATTTCTGCTTTATACTCTTCAAATCCTCCTAACCTTTAAAGTCACTGCACCTACATTGAGGGCCAATTACCTTAATAAGTATCAGTTTTACAGGTGGATTATTAATTTTAACAGCATTTTTGCATAAGTTTGTAATTGGTAGTGACAGTTTCTCCTTAGAATGCGAACTGTAGTCGAAGGCTGTGTGCCGTTTTCAAATTAATAGTTTGTTTTGACCAGATTGCTGCAGTTCCATTTTTGTTCTTTAAAGCATCTTCCTAGGTTCCTTCATACAGAGCTGGCTATCCTGAAGATATTGTGTACCTGCTGGTCTTCCTAATTTACCATCAGATGTCATTATGATAAATGTTTTCAGTAGGAAGTGGACATATCGATTTTTGAAATCCAGCATATGAATGAAAATATTTTTTGATGCCCTAAATCATTTTGACCTACTTCAGATACTCCACATGGCTCAGCTTGGATACTGAGGAAGGATTATTATGAACCATTGCTAATAATATGTATTATTTAAATCACATTTTCAGAATGGCTGGTTTACGATTGGCTTCCTGTGGAAGGTTGGTTTTTTTTGTCCTTCTGCTGAACACTCCTCTCCACCATGGAATAGAATTTGATCCTTACAGATCGTTGGGAATCAGTCGAACTGCAACCCAAGCAGAAATAAAGAAAGCTTACAAACAACTGGCTCGGGAGTGGTGAGTTTCTGCCTGTATTAAATTTAAAAGAAACGTATATGGACTGTACATCCAGCAACTGTATTTCTTCACTGAAGTGTTCCTGTTTATAACTTTAGTTTGATGTCTTAAACAAATCGTAAATAATACAGGCCAGTGACATGGCGCCAAGGCATAAGATATAATTTGCTGGCCTTGGAAATACAAACTCCAGGAAACTCTTTTGTTATAATGTTTGTAGACTGTAAGGTCTGTAAATGCTCTGAACAAAAGAAATGTTGGTTTGTTAAAGCACTGGACCATTTGTGAATTTTAAAACACAATTTGATTTAATCCAAATACTCTTGTAATCAGTTCAAAGCTTTTTTTTATCCTCTGTGTAATAGACTCTGTAATACTAGCTGCTAAACTAAGGTATGACATGGTATTAAAAGAAGTTTAAAATATTCCTCGCATGGTGCTTAATGCATGTTGTATATTATTGGAGCTCTCTAGCTTAGAGAGTGAATGCATTATTAAGTATGTAAGTATGCTATAATGGGTGGAGGGAAGATATACAAGAATATCACCAGGATTGGAAAACTTTAGCTATGAGGAAAGATTGAATAGATTGGGGATGGTTATGTGTGGAACAGAAAAGGCTAAGAGATTAAATGGAGGTATAAAAAATTGTGGGATCTGAATAGAGTGGATAAGAAGGATCTATTTTCTTAGCAGAAAGTTCAATATCCAAAAGAAAAAGATCTACAAATGTGGTAAATCGAATAGAGGGAAGTTGAGAAATATTGTGACACGTAGGCTTGTATGGTTTTAGAACTGACTGCTTGAAGTGGGGAGTAGAAGCCCTCATTGCATTTAAAACGTACTTGGATCTGTACTTGAAGCGTTGCAACCTACAAGATAATGTACCAAGAACTGGAAAGCAGTTTTAAGCAGGATAGCTTTTGGCTGGCCCGATCTTGATGGGCTAAATGGCCACCTCCTGCTCCATAAATTTCTGTGCTTCCTTGAAATTCCCAGGTGGCCTATGCTAATTTCAATTCAAGCTGCAATGGGGACACTGCAATTAATCTTTATGCCCTAGGGCTACAAGAGAGGAAAAACTGAATCAACATTCCTGCTCCTGATTGCTGCACTGTTGAAGAATGTGTGTAAAGTCCGAATGGAAGTCACCTATGGTGAACATTACAGGAAAACAGTGTGCTGACATTTAATCTAGAGTCCTACATAATGAATTACCACTTTGATTTGAAGACTTCAGGAACATCAGTGAAATTGTACCTGATGAAAGGTGGTATTTTTACAAGGGTAAAGGAAATTAGTTGAAAGAAAAGCACACAGGCCAAGTTTTGTTTTGTAATATGTAAGTCGGTTCTGTGCAGTGGGCTAGTTAAAGACTCTTATGCCAGAATTTTAATCTTGCTATAGAATGAATTGAGACTATATTGAAATTTTGCATTCTTTCAGGAAGAGTCATGTTAGTGTTTGTTTTACATTTCAGGCACCCTGACAAGAATAAGGACCCAAAGGCAGAAGATCAGTTCATTCAGATTAGTAAAGCATATGAGGTAATCAAAATGTCGAGTGGAAATTGTGATAATTTTTTCAAGGATTTCCTCTACAAAGGGTAACAATTGAAGCACAATTGAAGATTTTGTAAACTCTGGATTTTTTTTCCCCATTGTTGCATGGATATTTCCTTGAAGAAAGTATAATTTAATATATATTCTTTATATAGGTAGAACCTAGAATATCTTTCCAAATATAGCAGTTCACTGAATCGTTTGGTAACAAAAGATCAACATTGATCAAAAACAGTTGCCTAGTGAGGTGGGTTATACGTTGTACTTTTCATCATATTTCCTTGCTGCTTTTGGGAGAAGTTTTGAGTTTGAATTGCGCCTACTGTAGTCACATTCAGGGATCCATGTGCAGTTGATAACTTTCCTTACGGTCTACAAGGGAACTAAATTGAATAATTTGTTTCTATTGACCATTACAATAATCGTTGAGCCTCTGTATATAAATAATAAATAAATATAAATAATACTTACTTATGCATGTGGAAAATAAATAATTCTGGATAATATTCAAATATGTACTACAGGTGTGGTACATCCCAGCATTTGAAGGTTAAAAAGGAAGACTTGCATTTATATAGTGCCTTTTAGGACAATCAGACATGCCACAGTACTTTGTAGCTAATAAAGTACTTTTTTGAAGCTTGACCACTGCTGCCAACAGCGGCCAACTCCCTAAACAGCAAATGACAATGACCTGATAATCTGTTTTTGTATTGTTGGTTGAAGGATAAATATTGACCAGGACACTGGGGATAACTTTCTGCTGTTTGAAATAGTCTCTATGTCCACCTAACAGGCAGGCGGGGTCTGGATTTAACATCTCACCTAAGAGATGGCACCTCTGATAGTGCAGTGCTCCTTCAGTACTGTGCTGGAATGTAAGCCTTGATTTTTGTGTATCTGGCGTGATATTTAAATCCACTGCCTTCTGGCTTGGGTATGTGTGCCAGTAACTCACTTGTTTCATGACTTTTCTTAATAGCTTTCCCTTCATCCTCTATCTTCATGCCAACATATCAGATCCATTTCCTATCATAAAGGGGAATCTTCTGTTCTTAGAATATGAGCATGCGTTGCGATAATCTCCTGGCCCTTGCCACACTTTGTCTGTGCGCCTGCCTGGAAGATTATTCTGGAGTTGATAATTTAAGAGACCTTCCCCGCCCATCCCATCCCAATCTGCCATCCTGTTAAGATCAATGGCTGTAGCAACAATTAAAGGATCGCAGCTTTGTAAAGAGCATTGTCACACTGTTGGAGGTGGGCGCTGCCACTGTCAAAACCAAATGGTGTCTTCATTATGATCCCTCTAAAGAGGTTAAAATTTAATAGGAAAACTGACCACAGCTGTGAAGGTGTGAAAGAGAAATCTCTTTGCAGCTTGGCTGACAGTGCGGCAGTGATTGTCGGAGATCTTGGGGGCTTCTCCGTCTAGCTGCCAGAAAACTGGGTCAAGGCATTGGCTCGTCTTAGGACTTAGCAGGGACCTGTGATGATGTATGTAATCAGACTACTAGTAGGGAATTGATTATGCCGATTGGCTACCCATGTTTGCAGGTGATGACCCTTCCCCCAGGAAAGCCGCTGGAGGCAGGAACATGTTGGTCTGCTGATCCAGTGTCAATTTCAGTGAAATTTCTCCTGGCTTTGTCTTTAATCCTGCCTCTCTTCAGGCTTCTTCATCAAATTTAACCTATCAAGTTTCTGCCCATTTCAGCAATTTATCTATGCCCTCCTGGAGACTGCTGCTATCCTCATTGTTAGCTACATTTCAGCATTTCCAATCATTGACACACTTGGAAATTTTGTCCTGTACATGGTAACCAATGCATTAATACACATTTTTAATATTTACATTGCAATTTATATGCAACTTTCTAGAAATTACAAGTTCAGCAATATGAAACCGTAGACTTTCTGAGGAACATAATAGGAAGATGATGGGCACAAAAAGTCCCTCATCTGTATTTTGGTTGTGACTATAACACCAATCTGTCCGATAAAGTTCCAGTGAAAGCCCAGCTCACTATATTTACTGATTAGCTCTCTTTTTGCTTTAGATTCTTTCAAATGAAGAAAAGAGGTCAAATTTTGATAAGTACGGAAATCCGGATGGACAACCAGGGAATCTCCAACATCCACAGCAGCATTTCCGGAGTTTCCATAAATACGACAGTTTCTTCTTTGATGACTCTTTCTTTCAATTCCAATTTAATTCTGCCAGAGACTCATTTGATGATAAGTACCTACTGCATTTCTCACAATACATGAATGAAATTGTGCCAGACAGTTACAACAAACCATACCTCATCAAAGTGACTTCTGACTGGTGTTTCAACTGTGTTCAAATTGAGCCAATCTGGAAGGAAATGGTACAGGAGTTTGAACCTCTGGGTACGTCAGTCTCTGTATCATGAATTATTATTAAGCTTTGTTTTAAGGGGAAATATGTTCAAAGCCGAAGAGTATTTTTTTTCTGTTCATTTGTGGGATGTGGGCATTGCTGGCTGGGCCAGCATTTCTTGGCCATCCCTGGTTGCCCTTGAGAAGATGGCAGTGAGCTGCCTTCTTGAACCACTGCAGTCCTCCAGCTGTGGGTTGACCCACAATGCTATTAGGGAGCGAATTCCAGGATTTTGACCCAGCGGCAGTGAAGGAACAGCGATATATTTCCAAGTCAGGATGGTGAGTGGCTTAGAGGGGAACTTGAAGGTGGTGGTGTTCCCATGTGTCTGCTGCCCTTGTCTTTCTAGATGGAAGTGGTTGTGTGTTTGGAAGGCACTGTCTGAGGATCTTTGGTGAATTTCTGCAGTCCATCTTGTAGATAGTAGCACTAGTGTGTACTTAGTGTCCATGGTGGAGGGAGTGGATGCTTGCAGATGTAGTGCCTATCAAACAGACTGCTTTGTCCTGGATGGTGTCAAGCTTCTTGAGTGTTGTTGGGGCTGCACTCATCCAGGCAAGTGGGGAGTATTTCATCACTCCTGATTTGTGCCTTGGAGATGTTGGACAGGCTTTGAGGATTCAGGAGATGAGTAACTTGCTAGCTATTCCTAGCTGCTGACCTGCCCTTAATGTAGTGTGTTAATGTAGTGAGTCCAGTTGAGTTTCTGGTCAATGATAACTCGAGGATGTTGATAGTGGGGGTATTAGTGATGATAATACCATTGAATGTCAAGGGACGTTGGTTAGATTGTCCCTTATTCATGATGGTCATAGCCTGGCATTGTGTGGCATGAATGTCACTTGCCACTTGTCAGCCCAAGCATAGATATTGCCCAGATCTTGTTGCATTTGAACATGGACTGCTTCAATATCTGAAGTGTAACAAATAGTGCAGAACATTGTGCAATCATCATTGAACATCCCCACTTCTGACCTTGTGATGGAGGGAAGGTCATTGATGAAGCAGCTGAAGATGGTAGGGCTGAGGGCACTACTCTGAGGAACTCCAGCAGAGATGCCCTGGAGCTGAGATGATTAACCATCTTCCTACGTAGCAGGCATGAGTCCAACCACTGGAGGGTTTACCCCCTGATAACCACTGATTCCAGTTTTGCCCAGTCTCCTTGATGCCACGTTTGGTCGAATGGAGCCTTGATGTCAAGGGTTGTCACTCTCACCTCACCTCTGGAATTCAGCTCTTTTGTCCATGTTTGAACCAAGGCTGTAATGAGGTCAGGAGCTGAGTGGCCCTGGCGGAAGCCAAACTGGGCATCACTAAGCAGGTTATTGCTGATCAGGTGCTGCTTGATAGCACTGTTGATGTCACCTTCCATCACTTTACTGATGATTGAGAGTAGACTGATGGGGCGGTAATTGGCTGGGTTGGATTTGTCCTGTACATAGAAAGCAGGACATACTTGGGCAATTTTCCATATTGTTAGGTAGATACCAGTGTTGTAACTGTACTGGAACAGCTTGGCTAGGGGAGTGGCAAGTTCTGGAGCACAGTCTTCAGTTCTGTTGCCTGAATGTTGTCAGGGCCTGTAGCCTTTGCAGTATCCAGTATCTCCAACAGTTTCTTGATATCACATGGAGTGAATCGAATTTGCTGAAGACTGGTACCTGTAAAGCTGGGGACCACTGGACGAGGTCGAGGTGGATTATCCACTCGGCACTTCTGGCTGAAGGTTGCTGCGAAAGCTTCAGCCTTGTCTTTTGCACTGATATGGTGGGCTCTTCCATCATTGAGGATGGGGATATTTGTGGAGCCGCCTCTTTCGTGAGTTGTTTAATTGTTCACCACCATTCAGAGCTTAGATCTGATCTGTTGTCTATCACCTTGCTGCTTTTGCTGTTTGGCATGCAAGTAGTCCTGTTTGGTGGCTTCACCAGGTTGATACCTCATCTTCAGGTATGCCTGGTGCTACTCCTGACATGCCCTCCTGCACTCTCCATTGAACTAGGGTTGATCCCTTGGCTTGATGGTAATGATTGAGTATGAGATATGCCAGGCCATGAGGTTACAGATTGTGCTGGAGTATAATTCTGCTGCTGCTGATGGCCAGCAGCGCCTCATGAATGCTAAGTCTTGAGTAGCAAGATCCGTGTGAAGTCTGTCCCATTTAGCACACAACACAACACGATGGGGGTTATTCTCAATGTAAAGGTGGGACTTCGTGTCCACAAGGACTTTGCTGTGGTCACTCATAATGATACTGCCATGGACAGGTGCAACTGCAGCTGGTAGATTGGTAAGGATGAGGTCAAGTATGTTTTTCCGTCTTGTTGGTTCCCTCACCACTTGCTGCAGACCCAGTCTTGCAGCTGTGTCCTTTAGGACCCAAACAACTTGATGTGTATACTGCTAGTCATTGAAATTCTCCCACCCAGAGTACATTTCATGCCCTTGCCGTTTTCAGTGCTTCCTCCAAGTGTTGCTCAAACATGAAGGAGTACCGATTCATCAGCTGAGGGAGAACGGTATATGGTAATCACCAGGAGGTTTCCTTGCCCATGTTTAACCTGAAGCCATGAGACTTCATGGGCGTCTGGAGTCAATGTTGAGGACTCCCAGAGCAACTCCCCCCTGACTGTATACCACCGTGCCACGACCTCTGCTAGGTCTGTCCTGCCAGTGAGACAGGACATTTCCAGGGATGATGATGGTGGTGTCTGGGACGTAGTCGTACTCACAGAATCATACCTTGCAGATAATGTCAGGCTGTTGCTTGACTAGTCTGTGAGACAGCTCTCCCAATTTTGGCACTAACCCCCAGATGTTAGTGAGGGGGACTTTGCAGGGTCGACAGGGCTGTTTCCGCCATTGTCTTTTCTGGTGCCTAGGTTGATGCCAGGTGATCCGTCCAGTTTCATTTCTTTGAGACTTTGTAGCGATTTGTACAGCTGAATGGCTTGCTCGGGCATTTTGGAGGGCAACTTAGAGTCAATCACGTTGTTGTGCGTCTGGAGTCACATGTAGGCCAGACCAGGTGAGGATGGCAGATTTCCTTCCCTGAAGGATATTAGTGAATCAGGTGGGTTTTTCTGACAATCAACAATGATTTTATGGTGACCAGTAGATTCTTAATTCCAGGCTCTGTGTTTTTTTTTATTGGATTGAAATTCCACCACCTGCTGTGGGATTCGAACTGGGGTTCCCAGAACGTTAGCTGGGTTTCTGGATTAATAGTCCAGCAATGTTCCCACTAGGCCATCACCCACCCTGATAGTGCAACATTGCAACTGTGTTGACTGGTGTGTTCTGATGTATAAATCAGAAAGAATTTAGATACATTTTTTTCTTCTTTCATGGTATGTGGCCAGCATTTGTAACCGATCCAAATCTGTGGTCTGTTTTGAATTAACTAGTGTCAGCTAAATACTGAAGTTGGCCTTCATGATTCTTGGCTATAGAGTACTTGAATCAGTTGTGTGTTGACATTGGATGGGGCAGAACAGACTGCTCTGATGACTGCATCATGAATAACACTGTCTGTTCAGGATCATATTAAGTTTGGCTAAGTACCTGTGCAAAGTGCTAGAGAACTACCAGAGCTTGTGGAACTGTGCCCAAATAATGATTAATATTTGCTGGAGGGAAAGTAGAAATTGGAGGCAGTTGAGGGAGTAGGGGGAGGGCATGGAAACAAAATGAAAACTAATGAAGCATGACAATGTTTATGGAGTGGTTGAGAATAAATAACCAATTGTTTGTTTGTTTATTTTCAGGGCTCGGGATTGGAGTCATAGACTCAGGGTATGAGCGTCGTTTGTTAAATCACATTGGCGTGTATCAGCATCCAGCAATAGTGGGAGTCATCAATGGACGAGTAACGTTCTTTAAAACCACTGTGGTTCGAGAAAACCTAAGACAGTTTGTAGACAACCTTCTGCCAAGCAAACTGTTGGAGCAGGTGTGTGACCAAATAATCACAGCTTGGAGGAAGCAAGGGCTTACTGATTTCTTGTGCCTATTAATGTACAGCTTTATTGAACTGTTCAAAATGGTCAAATCACTTCTCAGCCTTTTGGCTCAGCATGTGTAGGTTCTTCTAATGGTTAATACAATGATTTTTGTTTTGATATTTGTGTTACAGATTTAACTCAAGGTAATGTCTGGTGTGGTATTATGCTTTGGCCAATTATAGTGCAATATTTTATGTCTGTGCAGTACCCTGTACATATGCGTCATAAAAAAACAAAATTCTCTGTCTTTTCATCTTTTAAATTAGTTCACTTGAATCACATAATCACCTATTTATTGATTAAAAAGGATGTATAATAATGAGTTGTGATAATTTAGGCAAAAAGATTTTGTGGGAAAATCATCAAAAGAAAGTATTAAGAATGGAGGGACAGTACTGAAATGTGTGCAAATTTCTTCAGCATTTCTTTCTCCCGTCACCACTGAAATAATCTCACAGGGGCCGGTATCTCATCACCAAGTCACCTTTTATTCTCACACGTGTAGTATTTGACACTGGTCCACATTCCTCAGAGCCAACTCTGAGTGAGCAGAACCTCTGACACTCCTGTTTATATCTGTAACCAGGGCTCCCTGATTGGACCAGGTTAACATTCTATGAGGTCCACCTGGCTGACCTGTTACAATTACTACAAATACTACCCAAATAAAGTGAAATATTGGCTGTCTGGCTACATGTTATAAAACGTACTGAGACAGTCAAGAAATTCTGACAAACTTAAGATTATTAAAAGATCATTAGAATAATGCAAGCTACATGTGACCTCACACATTCTCCAACTAATGCATAAATCCCTTACTGAAAAAGTATACACTGAAACAAAGCCAAATGAAAATAAGTGGGGATTTGTTCCGTCGGTGCAGGTGCCAGAATTATTCAGATCAGCTTTGCAGCTTTTGAAAATAAATAAGATTGACTTGCACTTATATTACACCTTTCATATCCCAAGGATTTTCTTTGCAAGCAATGAATTACTCTGTTATAGGAAACATGGCACAGCAAGGTTCCTTAACAGCACTGTATTTATGACAAGGACTATTGTCTGTTATAGTTGTTCTGGGATTACTTTTCTTTGCATAGTGCCATGGGAGCTTCTAAATCTATCTCAGAGAGGTAGGGCTTTGGTTTGACATCTCATCTGTAACAAAACGCTTTAAATGGTACTATCACAGAGGCTGAGACTGTTACACACGTGGCAATCTGAATGGGGCTATAACTTACAACCTTGCAATTCTGAGGCAAGAGTATTGCTACTCAACCAAAACTAAAGGTTCGAATTCTTACCTTTTGCACTCCAGTTATGGGTAGTATGTTAGCTTACAATTGTCAAACTATAATGAAATAACAGGGTAATGGAGAAATGGGATCCAGTATCTTGGGATTTAAAAGTTTACCAAAATAATTGTCACATTTTTAGGTAACCAACAAAAATTATGTACATTTCCTGTCTTCATGGGAGCAAGACAACAAGCCACGTGCACTAACGTTTCACCAGAAGTCTACGATGCCACTGTTGTACAAGGTAATGCATCTTAGACTCTTTAATATGAAATGAAGGGTATAATGGTGAAACTGCAGTTAAATATTGCTTTAATTTGCACCGAGAGTATACCAGAATCTAAATTATGCTGAAATGTTTTGCGGCATCTCTTTTTTTGCATGGTCTTTCTGTCATGTTTCTTTTAATAAAATCTCAAAACATATTCATTAAGGCATAGAAGGAGACCGTTCAATCTTTGAGTTCATGTTGGCTGTCTGGAAAGCAATCCTGTTTTCGTAGGCCTGTAAGTTAATTTCCCTCAAGTGCCATCCATTTCCTTTTTAAAATCATTGTCTTTGTTTCCATCACCCTCACAGTTCTAGATCATTACTCAATCGCTGCATAAAAACGTTCTTCATATTTCATCTCTGCAACTCTTGCCTAAAACCTTAAATCTGTGTGTCTCTTTCTTCTCCTTTCACCATCAAATAATGGGAACAGCTTTCTTTTATGCTCATTTTTAATTACAGAACACACCCACACTGAATTGTCCTCCCATTTTTTGATGGCGGTGATATTAAAGAAACCCTGTTGCAGTAATATTACCCAAGCCACTTTAGTAAACACAAAACAAGAAAATTACAAGTATTGTTAGTGAGCCATTTACAACCTTAACAACTGATTTTAGACATTGAAGATTCTTCCTTTAAACCCTAAAGCACGTTATTTTTAAAAAGAAGCTTGCAATATTTTAATTTTGAAATAAGCTGCTTTTCTGTAAATTTGTCTGAGCAATGCTGTTCAAAATTGTTTATGTCATTTACTTGAATATTGATTAATTCAAAATTATTGTAATTACTGTTTGAAGACTCTGGATTTTTGGCTCCCAATGTTCAACACTTTGATCACACATTGTGTATATTCAGTGGAACCTACAAATGCTTGACTTCCATTCCTAATGCAGATAAAGAATATAGTGCAAATATCTGCAAGCTGTTGGCAAAATGCATTTTTTTTACTGCTATTAATTGTTTTTGGTTAATGCTGACAAACACAGGAAAGGATTAACTTGCTGTTCTTGACATACATTTTTCTTTCCAAAGCTGATTGCCTTCCAGTTCAAAGATTATGTAAAATTTGGAGCTGTGCAGACTGGGATAGAGCTGACTAATGAAATCCTGACTTATTACAGTATAAGTGGTTACGCCTCTACCATAATGATTTTTAAGGAGAATGTAGACAAGGCAGCTGATAGCATCCAGGTATGTACTATAACTTTTTTTCTGAATTTCTTTTCAAAGTGAGAAATGATGTTGATGGAGAAGTGGTGCAACCTTCTGAGAATGCACAGCAAAGGTTAAGAATAGTCCCAAACGTAACCTTGAAATTAGTCTTAAAAGAGTTTCGTTTCACTTCCTTTGAATACATTGTAGTCAAAAAGCAAATCCTTCATTTCATTTCACTATTTTCTCTTTCCTGAAATACTGTCACTTACCAAAATATAACACCATTGGTCTTGGCTGCCACTGGTATTGCACCCATATGACTATTCTTTATGCATAAGAAATCCCTATCCATTTCTTCTGTGGTTGAGTAACCTTTTGACAGTCCCTGCTACTGTGTAGGTTCAAAGATGGGTAATGGCTACAAAACACAGAATGAATTTGAATGGCATCATAGCAAGAGTCAGCAGAGAGAGGGAGGAAATATAAAGAAAAATTGTTCAAAATAAATGAAATGCATTTGTGTTCTTGGGGCTGCGTTAAAAACTCATGGTTTTGAGTGATTTCTTGCAGGCTAAAGGAATGAAGAAACAAATAATAGATGATTTTATTTCTCGTAACAAATACCTACTGGCTCCTCGCCTTACAAGCCAGAAACTCTTTGAGGAGCTGTGTCCTCTGAAACAACACCGTCGTCAGAGAAGGTAAGTGACTATTCTCGCAGCAATGACGGGTTTCTTTCCTTTTGGTGCTGGCCACTAAATAAGTTGTATAAGTTTGCCTGATGCTAGTTGATCCTAATTTTAAAGAAAAAGGAAAGACTTGAATTTAAATATGTACAGAACAATTTTGCTGACTTCAGGATATCCTATACATCTAACTAAGCACTTCATTTAAAATAGACAGTGATATTGTAGAAGATGTAGGAACAAATGTTGTACACAACAAAACCTCCCAAGTGACAATGTGATCATGACTCGATGGTTTCCTTTTGTGACATTGATTGAGGGTCAAATATTGAGCAGAGCAGTCAGGAAGAACGAACCTGCTTTTCTTTTGAAATAGTTCCATGTGATTTTTTTTAAGTACACTTAAAAGGGAAAATTTAGCTGCATTTAATATTTCACCTGAAAGATGGCATCTCAGTGCAGCCCTCTTTCATTAATGAACTGAGTGTCAGCCTAGATTTTGTGTTCAAGGTACTGACTTTCTGCTCCCATAAGTAAATCAAAACCAACCAAGAATCCAGGGACCCCACAGATGCTATTGAGAGACTGGAACACTGCATGTAAATCAGTATCATAGACTTCCTGTGCCATTGCAGAACAGATATTTGAGGTTTGACATTCTTTTTAAAAAAAAAAATCAACCACCTACTTTCAGTGGAAAATTGCATTCAAGCATGGCATTGTTTAAAGCTTTTATTAAGGACATCTGGCATCAAGTATCTTCACTTCTTTGTCGAATTGTAACTGTTTTTGAGAATGTTTCTGTTAAGTTACACAGTTATTGGATCCCAAATTAATAACTGAGTTCTGAAGAAGAACCTTTGGACGTGAAACATTAACTCTATTTCTCTATGCACAGATGCTGCCAGACTTGCTGAATTTCTCCAGCATTTCTGTTTTTATTTCAGATTTCCAGCATTAGCCATATTTTGCTTTTAATTGATTTTATTGATGCAGATAACTATGATTTGCCATATTTATTTAAAAGTTTCAATAAATATATATTTTTTGTACTTAATTTATTTAAAGATTAAATTTTCATATGGTAACTTTGTCCAAGCTTTATAATGGGTGGTGATTTATGTACTTGATTTGTCTTGAATTTTTCTCTAGATATTGCGTCCTGCTAATCATTCAAAGGAAAGATGAGTTGCAGTCTGCATATCGCTCCTTTGTCTCCTTCGCGTCTGTAAATACGAAAGAGTCATTGAAATTTGTTTACGTTTATTCTGAACGTCAGCAAGCGTTTGTTAATGCCTTGCTCCCATCAGCACTGCAAAACAATCCATTACCAAATGTGAGTAGAACAACTGTGTCCAGTTTTAAGCTGCATATTTTGATGCATGGCTCTGTTTTCCTTCTGCATGAGCCTCTAGCCTTAACAGAATACATAACTCCAGGCACAAAATCAACTGTCAATTGAGCAGTGAGCTGTTTGCATTTTCTGTGCTTAATATTATTGAACAATAATTGGTGAGATCGTCAATGGGCCCAATTCATTTGCCTGGAATTCCTCTGCTAGCTGTCTTTAGTTTGCTTAAAATAAGTATTCAGGCAAATGAAAATAATGAATGAAAGAATGTCACTGAAATATTAAATTATTTGTCCACAACTGTCAACATCAGTAAATCTTTGTCGTGTATGTCTTTTAAGTTGGTAATCTTTCATTTTCAAATTTGTGGTCCAATATGCAAGGGCAGTACATACATGGGAACATCATGTGCAAGTTCCTCTCTAAGCCTCTCGCCATCAGGACTCGGAACTATATTGCTGTTCATTCATTCTTGTTGGGTCAAAGTCCTGAAACTTCCTAACCAACAGCACTGCAGGTATACCTACACTGCATAGACTACAGTTCAACAAAGTTGCTAACTACCAAACCCTCGAGCATTCAGGGATAGACCAGCATTTATTGGCTATCTAGAGATGCCTGTATCCCTTTATAGAATTTTTAAAAAAAAAATTTTAATTTTTTAAAATAAAAGATATTATTTTGCTTAAGCACATGTTTTAAAGTTAATACTTCAGAAAATAAAGGTTCTGTTCAAGTTAGACAGGTTTTTGTTTCAGTACAATATATTGCCAAAATGTGTTTTTCATGTTTGCTGAGGGGGTAGGTTTGAACTATTTCATGAGTGTATTTGAAGATTGTTTGTTGAATGGAACAAGTTAGTTTAAGATGGGAGAAATTGTCTTCAAAGAATGAATAGAGGTCTTTCAAACCTTATAGCTTAATCTACACTAAGCCAATCTCCTAAATTTTTTTTCAGGTAATTCATCTCTGATAGTGTTGTGCAAATTCCAAAGCAAAATCAGAAACCCTTTTTAGCCCAGACTAGGAATGAAACAACTTGCATCTTGATAGCACCTGTCACATCCTTATGATATCCTGAAGTGTTTCACGGCTTGTGAAGCACTTTTGACATATAATCACTGTTATAATGTACCAAAGCAAATTACTCCAATAAAGGAATTAGGCAAGAAAACTGTTGAAATAACTTGTATGATGCACTTTTGGTATTCAGTTCACAGCTCCTATGTGAGAAGCTGCTTGACCATTTGTTTCTTGGGTTTGAAACAATCCTCTGGTCCAATCTAGAAGTCTTCCTAGCTTCTAAGAAAGTTCTTCCCTTTAAGTATCTGACACCATGCCACAATTTTCTAATGAGGTTTTTGAACTTTCTGAGCTTGATCTTTTTGGTGCACGTTCTGTAGTATCATGTAATTGTTCCTGTCAAAACCTTTGCCTAAAATGGAGTTTATTAATTTATATCTTCTAAGCAAAACTGATCACAATTGAATTAAATTATAGAAGATATTACAGGGACAACAAAACATCTTCAATCACTTTACCGTAGGTCAGTCACAGAGCTGCTCACTCTAAAAATAGCATGGATAAAGGAACTATAATTTTCACTGAACTCTATGCATTTCACTTTTTCAGTTAGAGAGGTCATGTGCTTTTCTTAAGAATTCTTTGTTTATTTTTTTCTGACAAAATTCTGTTTAGCAGGTTGTGATTCTACAGCGAAGCAGCACTCCTGGTAAAGTGTTCTATAAGCTACTGGAAAATGGATGGAATGGGAGTGAGGAGGACAAAATGCTGTTATTTAATGAGCTGACTGAGTTAATGGGAATGGAAGGCCACACAGTACTCTCTCATGATGTTGTGTTACCTGAGCTAAATGATGAATTTGCTCCAGTAAGTATTTTATCTGCACAAATGATCAGGTTAGTTTCTGTTACATTATTTATAGTTATCATTAGTTGTTGGAACAATAATGTGAGCAGGATGAGGAAACAGTGCCTTTGCATCATCCATTTTTAAGTTTTGTTAGTGTGGAGGTAATGAGCCAGAATCTACTCCCAGGTGAAATTGGTGATGACTAAACATTCCATAATGTTGGGTAACTACAGTAGCTAAGATTACCAACAGTAGTTGGACCTAATCCTGGAGCTCTGTCAGTTGACAAATCGGGCATATGATAATCAGTGCAATTTGCAAATAGAACAGTACAGGACAGGAACAGGCCCTTCAGCCTACCATGTCTGTGCTGACCATGATGCCATTCCAAACTAATCCCTTCTGCTGGCACATGGTCCATATCCCTCTATACTCAGTCTGTTCATGGTCTGTCTAAAAGTCTGTTAAATGATGCTACTGTATCTGCTTCTACCACCGTCTCTGGCAATGCATTTCAGGCATCTGCTACCCTCTGTCTAAAAGAAGAAAAATTTTTCCCTTGTCACCTTAAACCTATGCCATCTAGTATTTGACATTTCTGCCCTCAGAAAAGATTCAGAGCATACACTTTATCCATGCCTGTCATAATTTTATATACTTTTATCATGTCGCCCCTTGGCTTCCAATGCTCTCGTGTAGACGATCCAAATTTGTCCACCTCTCCTTTATAGTATGTACATTCCAATTCAGTCAACATCCTGGTAAACCTCTTTTGCATCCTCTCCAAAGCCTCCATATCCTTTTTATAGTGTGGCGACCAAAACTGTACACAATACTCCAGATGTGGCCTAACTAAAGTCTTATACAGCTGCAACATGACTTGCCAACTTTTATACTCAGTACCCTGACCAATAAAGACAAGCTTGTCATATGCCTTCTTTACCATCTTATCTACTTGTGTTGCCACTTTCAGGGAGCTATGGACTTGATCGCAAAGATTCCTGTGCTCCTAAGGGTCCTGACATTTACTGTATACTTTCCTTTTACATTTGACCTCCCAAAATGCATCAAGTCTCACTTGTCTTGATTAAACTCCATCTGCCATTTCTCTACCCAACTTTCCAACTGACCTATATGTTGTTGAATCCTTTGACAACCTTCTTCACTATCCACAACTCCATCAATTTTCGTGTTGTCTGCAAACTTTCGAATCAAACCACCTGCATTTTCATCCAAATCTGAGGTCCCAGCACTGATCCTTGCAGAATGCCGTTGATCACAGACCTCCAGTCAGAAAAACACCCCTCCACGACTATGTTCTGTCTTCTATGACCAATCCAATTTTGTATCCAACTTCCCAACTCAGTATGGAACCCATGTGACTTAATCATCTGGACCAGCCTAACATGAGGGATCTTGTTAAATGAATCATAGAGTCATACAGCACAGAAACAGACCCTTTGATCCAACTCTTCCATGCCAATCAGGTTTCCTAAACTGAGCTAGTTCCATTTGCCTGCATTTGGTCCATATTCTTTTAAAAACCTACCTAAGGAGTTGGATCACGACTGGGAACCACATGACGGGAGCTGAACGTGCAGGTTATGTCCTGCAGCGATGTTGGATCGAGGGTGGGCCAGAGCAATGGCGGCGGGTCAAGAGTGGGCCAGCAAGAGCAAGCCGGTGAGGCAGCGGCGGTGAGAGCAAGCTGGTGAGGCAGCTGAGATGGGCTGGTGAGGCAGCGGCAGCGAGTTTGGGCCAGTGAGGCAGCCCAGAGCGGGACGCTGGCAGAGGCATGGCTTGAGCTGGAAAGCCGTAAGTGGGATTGAGGCAGTGGAAAGGAAAGTTGGACTCTCAAGTTATCTTTCCTTTCTTATCTTATTCTAAGTCAATGTGAATGGTGCCGTGTATGTACAACGAAGGTACACACTTTTCATTGTATTTTTACATTGAATACACACGACAATACATGATTTGATTCAATTCAATCCAATTCAATATCCTTCTAAATCTTTCCTATTCATGCACCTGTCCAAATGTCTTTCAAATGACCACCTCTACCACTTCCTCTGGCAGCTCATTCCATACACGGACAACTGTGTGGAAAACGTTCCCCCTCATGTCCCTTTTAAATCTTTCCCCTCTCATCTTAAACTTATGCCTTCTAGTTTTGGACTCCCCTACCCTTGGAAAAAGACTTTGGCTATTCACCTTATCCATGCCCTTCAAGATTTTATAAACCTCTATAAGGTCACCCCTCAGCCTCTGACGCTCCAGGGGACAAATGCCCCAGCCTCTACAGCCCCTCCTTGTGATGCAAATCTATCAGTTCCAGCAACATGCTTGTAATTTTTTTCTGCACCCTTTCTAGTTTAACAACATCCTTCCTAAATGGTCTAGTGAAGTCCAACATCCACTGCCTTACCTTCATCAGTCATCTTCATTACTTCCTCAGAAACCTCAATCAAGATTGTATGACAGGACTTCACCTCCATAAAGCCATGCTGACTACCCCTAATAAGTCCATTCTTTTCCAAATGCAAGTAAATCCTGTCTCTAAGTATCTTCCCTACCACTGATATAAATATAATTTACTAGATTATCCCTGTTGTTCTTCTTAAAAGAACAACACCGGCTATTCTCCAGTCTTCTGCTACCAAACTTCTGGCTAAAGCGAATGCAAAGGTCTCTGTTGAGGCTCCAGCAATCTCTCCCTTTGCCGCCTTCAGTATCCTTGGGATAGATCCGTCAAGTCCTGATTTTCCTTTATCTTACCTCTTGAAAGTGCAGTCACATTTAATAAATTTTACATTATCCCACTTTTGGGATGTCAGGGATGCACTGTCATGAACTGGAATACTTTTCTCCAAACTTGTCAGCCATAGTATCCAGGAGATCTAATAGTCATTCAGGTGACTTCCAGGTAAGCTGTGAGTATTGTAACTGTCACTCTGAATCAAGGGAGACTTTAAATACAGTTCTGAGGAGAAGTTCAGTTCGAACCATAGAAAAGTTATAGCACAGAAAGAGGCCCTTCGGCCCATCATCTCTGCAGTGAACTAGCCATCCATTGTCGTTCCACTTTCCAGCACCTTTCTCTAACCTTGCAGGTTGCAGTACTTCAGGTGTAGATTTGGGTTCCTTTTAAACCGGCTTTTATCTTAAGAACCAAACTGGACAGTAGACACCACCACCCTCCTGGGCTCAAAAGGTGTTTCATTATATCCCCTCTAATCTTTCTACCAATCACCATTAAATCTCCACTAAGGGAAATGGGTCTTTGCTGTCCACTCTATCCAAGCCTCTCATTATTTTGTACATCTCAGTTAAATCATCCCTCAACCTTCTCTGATCTAAGGCAAACAATTCCAACCTATCCAGTCTTTCCTCACAGCTGCAATTTTCTAGTCCAGACAGTTCTAAGAAACCCCCAGGAAAATGTGATGAAGTGACTTTAGTAATTTGAGTAATTAACTCAGAATTTATAAAAACAGATGTTGTTTACAGTTATTTCACAGAATTTACAAGTAGCTGTTCTTCACTCTTGTTTCTGCTTGGTTCCTCGTACTTATAATGGTCTGTTATTGCTTGTAATCAATTGTAATCCCAATTAGTGATTTGGGGCTGTCAGATTTAAAATTGTGCAACAGAAATATTAATTGCAAATGGAAAGATTTGCTGCAGATTTTGAAGTGTCAGTGCTTGCTGACTTATAAACGAAACCAGTAGAAAGAGAGGGAGGACGCAGATATGAAACCTCAAACTGCACAACTTAATCACTACATTGTTTTACTCAATATATTAACATTTGTTTATTGAACTATTTTTTGAGAAGTTCAGGTTTATCCTGAATCACATTGTCTGAAGAAGAAAAATAGTCTTCCATTTAACCGTGACCATTCTAGATGATACAAGTTTTAAGATTTGTACGTCTGTTTCCCTGACATAACCCCATAGGAGAGAGATAGCAAGAACTGCAGATGCTGGAGTCAGAGTCAACACATTGTGGAGCTAGAGGAACACAGCAGGTCAGGCAGCATTAGAGGAATAGGAATGTCGACGTTTCAGGTCGGGACCCTTGTGAAGCCTGTTAAGAATCCTGTATGTTTAAATGAGCTTACCTCTCATTCTTCTAAATTCCAATGAGTAGAGTCCCAACTTGTTTAACCTTTGCTCATAAAACAATCCCTCCCTACCAGGGATCATCGTAATGAACCTTCTCTGAATGGCGTCCCATGAAGTAATATATTTTCTTAAATAATACATAAACATGTATAAGTATAATCTTCTGTTTGAAAACAAGAATGAGGGTACATAAAACCATAATACATAGGAATAGAAGTAGGCCATCCAGCTAAGCGAGTCAACTCCACCATTCAATAAGATTATGGCTGATCTAATGATCCTCAAATCTACTTTCCTGTCTTTTCCTAATATCTTTGATTCCCTGTCTGATTTAAAAATCTGTCCATCTCAGCCTTGACATTTCTCTGCAGTAAATAATTCCACAGATCCGTGACAAATGAAGAAAATAAATTCCTCCATTTCTATTTTAAAAAGGTGACCTCTCATTCTGAGATTATGCCCTCTGGTCCTAGACTTTCCCACAAAATGAAATAATGTTTCTGCATCTACTCTACCAAGCCCTCTGAGAATCTTGTATGTTTCATTAAGTTCTCCTCTCATTCTTCTAAACTCCGAGTACAGCCCAATCTACTCAAACTCTCTTTACAAGAAAATTCCTCCACATCCAGAATCAACCTAGTGAATCTTCTCCAACCACTTGCAATGCCAGTATGTCTTTCCTGAGAGATTAACACTGTTCACAATTTTCAATGCATGGTTTGACTATGTTTTGTATAGTTTTGTACTGTCAAAGTTCAGTTTGTGACTTCTTTCAATCTGATTTATCAATAAATGAGTTTAGTACAATTGACTGTCCCACAGTAATCCACTTAGTTGGTGTGCACATTCAGGTTTGACAAGTCTTTAAATATAACCTGCTGTTGCAGCTTCAGGAGTGACCTTTGCTTTGCCTGTGCAGTAAGAAGTTGCAGTATTAGTTCATTTTGAGATGCCATATAAAATTTGAACTCAATGCTTTTTCTCTACAGATGTTCCTCCTTCGCTGGTTGTATGCCATAATAGATTATGCATCTCAAATTTGGGCATCTGGATTCAGTCAGAACTGGTATGTAGCTGGTGACTATACCATTCATCACTAATACATCTTCTTGTATCCTGAAATCTAGAAACACAAGTTGTCAGAAATTGAATATACGACATTGAGCTGTGAGTAAGTTACTGTGGAACTAAAATGCAAATCCTCAAATTCTAAAAATCTGGATTACAGAAAATGCTGGAAGTGCACAACAGGTCTTTGTTAGAGCCATTGTTGCGTTTGGAATTGACTATTCCGTCAGAGTCCTAGCTGGTCTCCTACATTCTACTCTCCACAAACCTGAGGTTATGAAGTTTGTTTTTCCATATTGTAATTTACTTCAAGTTCTGTATATCCCCAACCTGTGCTTGCTGAGCTACATTGATTTGCAGCCTGGCACCTTGGTGATTTTAATGTTTGCACCCTTATTTTCACATCCTTCAAAAGCCTCGCATCTCCAGTACCTTGATACACCCGTGTTCCTCTAATTCCATCGCTTCACTGTTAGTGGCAATGCCTTCAGCTGCCAATCTTTAATCTTAGGACTTTTTCTACTAAAATCCTACAACTCCTCTACCTGTCCTCCTTTTAAGATGCTTCTTAAAACCTACTGCTTTGGCAGGGGGACTAACCATCCTCTCTGGGACTGCTCTGTACTCGAGATGCATGTCCCATGATGTCTGCATCCAGGATGCTGTTTGTCCTGTGTTTTCCAAGCTTCATATTTTGTGAATGTGCAACATACGCTCGCACATATGTACCTTGTCTTTGCGATGGCCACTTTCACAAATCACCCCCAACCACCATCACAACATTAAGGTCAGCAGCAACCACGCCAGCAGAGAGACACAGGGGGAAGCAAAAGTGTACCTTAATTGATTCCTGAAGAGTTGGTCACCCTGATTTTTGAGGGAGCTTCTGGTCATCTGTCTTAATATCCTTTGTGTGCCTCATTTTCCTTTATACATTCTAGTGATACACCTTAGAACTTCTAATGCAATAAAAATGCTATTTAATTACAATTTATTGTTGCCAGTTGGAGTCTGAAAGAGGCGTGTGTTTGACAGCAATTTGATGACATTCATTGTCAAGGTTCCCACATGAATTAGGCAAAATATTGGACGCGGCATCTAAAAACTATGAATTGTATGACAGCCAAAGTCTTCAAAGGGGCCATGGCTGATACTGAAAACACCTTAATAATCTGTGGTTGACCCTGTATTTCCATCTGTCACTCCATCACTTTCTTATCTGAAATTGACAGAATAGTTGGTAAATTTTCTTAAGAATCAAACTGACTCTCTCTACTTCATAATTCATGATCTAGATTGCTGCCTTCAATTTGAAAATCCAAGCTTGGTTCAACATGACTATTATTCCCTAATTGATCTTGGTTTATTTTTTTCTTTTATTCTTTTTCTATTTTCTTTTAAAATACACCATTGACTTTTAACCTCAATAACAGAAAAAAGTAATTGGCTTCATTTTAAAGCAAGAAAATGGATTTAAGGTTAAGGTTGACATTGTTCGCTGAGAATTCTCTGCTGGGATCAATATTATTTTCCTTTGCTGGACTTGCCCTGGTGTTGTGTGCTGCTGCTATTGAAAGCTGTGGATTAGAATTTTACGATTTTTTTTTGGGTTGCAAACTTTCTTGCACTTACCCAAAACATTCACTGCTGTCACAGTCCAAATATTTGGTCCATATCAAACTGGATGTTGTGTTTTTGGATTTTTGTATCTGTCCCTTGTTGCTCAGTGATTGTTTTAAAGTTTCTGTCCGTCAGCTGATCATTACTGTTAAGTGTGTTTATTATGACACCAAAAATAACTACATTCTGTTAACTTTCTTTTTCTGTCTCAGGAGGGAAATGATGCCTTTGATTTCTCTGCTTTTCTCAGTGGTTTTCATTCTGTTTGGAGCTTTCATCATTCAAGCTTTTGGGTAAGAAACGTGGACGTTCATATTGCAGATTTAAGAGAAAGAAAAATCAAGGCTTGTCTCTTAGTATTTGAAAGGGAAGAAGATTTGTTTCATGTTTTGAGTGAAGAATGGGATTTCTGAGAAAGAGCCTTGGTCCAGAAAAAGGAACCTGTCCTTTCTTTTTATGATGCTGATGGACCTACTGCTACTGTCTGTCTTTTTTTTTTTAGATGGGATTGGAGCTTCATGTAAAGTTGTGTGTTAAGTACGTGGTGGATAAATGTCCAAATGATGCCTATTGATAAAAGTGACCTGTTCTGTTCATTTCTGTCCTCAGCATTTAAGTGATTAGCAGAGCACCGGCGGGGAAGTGAGCGAACAAAGGATGCAGACCTTTTAGGGAGGATTACTTGCTTTCATTCCAGTTCGATAGGCTCAGAGAAGGCTGATAAATCCAGTGCGCATTTTGCAGACTTTGCTCCATGTAAGGCCGGTGGTGCTTGAAGAACGGTTGAGTTTCATTATAGGGTGGAACTATAGAAGTCAAGGTGCATGAATTCCCGAGCTCTGGCAGTGGAGCATTCCACTTGGCCACTTTAAGGATTGATTTCAAGGGTCAGTAACTACACTTTTTGTAGGTAAATGAGCACAGGGGTGATGGCTGTATAGGACTTGCTGTGAGTTAGGAAATGGGCATAGAAAACACTGAGAGATCCAATTCCCATCACACATTGCATCCTTTCCACCGATTCCATGTCGCTCCCACAGCCACAGTCGTGCATTCACAGACGATTCGTATGATTCTGGGCTCTGAGCTTAATTTTTAACTCCATCTTGTTAGAACCCTCACTGACATTTTTTTTCATTTTTTATTCTTTTATCATTTCTGATTTGGAGCGTGAGCTGGGAATTGAAAGCTAAAGATGACATTTGGACTTCTTGAAACAGCTTATGGTAAAAGGAAAAGAACAGACCAAACAAGCTTTTGTTTATTTGTGAGGGCAGCCCTGGAGGCTAATTGCAGGCTGATTCTTGATTAAAAGGGTTCCCGCAGACACAGCGACAGCAGGAAGAGCATTGTGTTTAAACAGATATAGGGGGTAGGCAATGGCCTATTGGTATTATTGCTAGACTATTAATCCAGAAACCCAGATAATGTTCTGGGGACCTGGGTTTGATTCCCACCATGGCAGATGGTGGAATTTGAATTCAATAATTGGAAAAAAAAGTCTGGAATTAAGAATCTACTGATCACCATGAAATCTTTGCCGATTGTCGGAAAAACCCGTCTCGTTCACTAATGTCCTTCAGGGAAGGAAATCTGCCATCCTCACCTGGTCTGGCCTACGTGTGACTCCAGACCCACAGCTGTGTGGTTGACTCTCAATTGCCCTCCGAAATGGCCTAGCAAGCTGCTCAGTTGTACAAATGGCTACAAAGCCTCAAAGAAATGAAACTGGACGGATCACCTGGCATTGACTCAGGCACTGGAAAAGACAACGACGGAAACAGTCCTGTTGACGCTGCAAAGTCGTCATCACTAACATCTGGGGGTTAGTGCCAAAATTGGGAGGGCTGTCTCACAGACTAGTCAAGCAACAGCCTGACATAGTCATACTCACAGAATCATACTTTTGAGACAATGTCCCAGTCACCACCATCACTGTCCCTGGAAAAGTCCTGTCGCACTGGCAGGACAGACCCAGCAGAGGTGGCGGCACAGTGGTATACAGTCGGGAGGATATTGCTCTGGGAGTCCTCAACGTTGACTCCAGATCCCTTGAAGTCTCTTGACTACGGGTTAAACAAAGGCAAGGAAATCTCCTGCTGATTACCACATACCGTCCTCCCTCAGCTGATGAATCAGTACTCCTCAATGTTGAGCAACACTCGGAGGAAGCACTGAGGATGGCAAGGGCACAAAATGTACTCTGGGTGGGGGATTTCAACGTCCACACCAAGAGTGGCTCGGCAGCAGTACTACAGATTGAGCTGGTCAGGTCCTAAAGGACATAGCTGCTAGACTGGCTTTGTGGCAGATGGTGAGGGAAACAACAAGATGGAAAAACATACTTGACCTCATACTTACTAATCTGCCAGCTGCAGTTGCATCTGTCTATGACCATATCAGCAAGAATGACCGTCGCATAGTCCTCGTTAAGATGAAGTCCCGCTTTCACATATTGAACAACTTCCATCGTGTTGTATGGCACTATTACTGTGCTGAATGGGACAGACTTCGCACAGATCTAGCAACTCAAGACTCGGCATCCATGAGGCGCTGTGGACCATCAACAGCAGCAGAATTGTACTCCAGCACAATCTGTAACATCATGGCCTGGCATATCCCCTACTCAACCATTACCATTAAGCCAGGAGATCAATCCTGGTTCAATGGATAATGCAGAAGGGCATACTTGAAGATGAGATATCAACGTGGTGGAGCCACCAAACAGGACTACTTGCATGCCAAACAGCAAAAGCAGCAAGTAATAGACAGAGCTAAGCGATCCCACAACCAGCAAATCAGATCTAAGCTCGGCAGTCCTGCCACATCCAGTCATGAATGGTGGTTGACAACTAAACAACTCATTGGAGGAGGAGGCTCCACAAATATCCCCATCCTCAATGATGGAAGAGCCCAACACATCAGTGCAAAAGATAAGGCTGAAGCTTTTGCAGCAATCTTCAGCCAGAAGTGCCGAGTGGATGATCTATCTCCGCCTCCAGTAATCCCCAGCTTTACAGATACCAATCTTCAACCAATTCGATTCACAAGAAACAGTTGGAGACACTGGATACTGCAAAGGCTACAGGCCCTGACAACATTCTGGCAATAGTACTGAAGATTTGTGCTCCAGAACCTGCTGCTCCCCTAAGCATGCTGTTCCAGTACAGTTACAACACTGGTATCAATCCGACAATGTGGAAAACTGCCCAAGTATGTCCTGTACACAAAAAGCAGGACAAATCCTACCTGGCCAATTACTGCCCCATCAGTCTACTCTCAATCATCAGTAAAGTGATGGAAGGTGTCATCAACAGTGCTATCAAGCAGCACCTGATCAGCAATAACCTGCTTATTGACGCCGAGTTTCGATTCTGCCAGGGCCACTCAGCTCCTGACCTCATTACAGCCTTGGCTCAAACATGGTCAAAAGAGCTCAATTCCAGAGGTGAGGTGAGAGTCACAGCCCTTGATATCAAGGCTGCATTTGACCGAGTGTGGCATCAAGGACCTAGTGAACTGAAATGGTAACCCGGATCAACATTTCCAGAAAAGCAGCCAAGGAGTCTTCGTCTTTTGCGTGTGAAAAAAATGCATAGTCAAAATCATTTAAGTCATCTGGCCAGTTTTGTTGTTTTTTATTTATCCCTTAACTGTGTTTTTGTTTGTCTATTTTGTGTGAATGAGGGCTGTAAACAAATGTTTTAAGCTGAAAGTATAGACATTAATCAGATTGCCTCGTTTAATATTTTCTGCTAAAGTTATGTGTATTGAATAAACTGTAAAGCCTTTTGTTTAAGGTACAAAACTGGCAGCTGGAATTAATTATTCGCAAAATCTGGGATTGGCTATTCAAAAGTCTGGTTTGGAACCATTGGAGTATTGGTTCTAATAATTATTGGGGGTCTTCAGTTTTAATCTTACCATTTTGCAAATGCGAGGTAGAAAGGTTTATTTGGTTCAGCTGTCTGTCTCCATGTCATGACATGATTCTCTCTATCACAAAAACTGCCAACATCACCAGTCTGCATTTATGTTTTTAAACGTCCATATCCAGGATTCTGTCACTACCACACTTGACTAATTCTACTGTACATTTGCTCTCCTGGTCAGCCTCTTAACCCACAACATCTTTATTGCCCATCAACCCTGTCTTCACTGCATTGGATGCAGTACCTCAACTCTGCCAGTTTAAAATTCCATCCTTTATGGCTGTGAGCTCCTAAGTTCCATAACCTTTAATCCTGCACACTTGATAGAATTCTGTTGGTGGAGTAGCGTTGATAGATCAGTTGAGCTTTTTCTGTTCTTCTGGTTCTCTGAATAAAGTCTGTGTGCATCATTCTGTTCATGACTTGTCAAGCCCCCATATTGTAGTGCTTTACTTAGGAAATTCTCTACCTCTTTCTCCTCCTTTTATTCTTTTATGGATATCATTGGCAAGGCCAGCATTTACTGCTATTTCCTAAATGCGCTCAAAAAGATTGTTGAGTTACTGAATTGAAGTACTGCAGTCTATCTGGTGAAGTTATTCCCTTTCAGCTGTTAGGGAGGAAGAGCAAGCATTTTGACCCAGCAGCATTGAATACCGGAAGTATTAAAGAGACACCATTATTCATGGCACTTGTTCTAGAAATTTACCTGACAGGCAGGGTTACTTAAGATGAATGAGAAGGATATGTCAGATGTGAGAAATGAAGAAGATTTCATTTGATAGATAATGAATCCTCTCTTTATCCAGTAGGTCCCCAGAGCAGAATTTTGTGGAAGTGACTGAATTGACCTACATCAACTATAACAGCAAATTTCTCAAAACTCACCTATTTTTAAAGAAGCTTTTGGTCTCCCTTTCTGTTATTTCCTACATTTTTGCTTAGCACCCATTGAGGGCTGATCACACCTCTGCCATTAGGATCATCTATGGATCATCTCATTTTTAAAGGCACTGTATAAATTCAGCTAATGTTGCAGTTTGGGTGCATTTTATTGCTGAATGTGATTTTTGAATCAACCTGCTGAAAATGTGACGTTCAATGAATGTGTGAAGTATTGAAGTTTGACAAGCGCACTTGCTGCAGGATATATTAACTAATTGATATCCCATGCTGACAGAGATGGGAATAAATAGCAAATAGCAGAACATAACATAATCTGGGAAGTGATGAAGTGTACTCCTGGTATGGAGGAGAAAGTTTTCTGCAGATCTATTTAATTTCCTTCAACTTCAGGGAACCAAGTGACGTGGAGAGCAGGTCTGAGTCTGAGAAAGAACAGGAACCAGCAACAGATAAGAATCGGGAAACAAAAAAGCAGCAAATCAACACCAGCAGGAATTTAAGGTATGGCCTTCTGAACAGTCAAACTCCACAATTCACTTGCATGTTTTTCCTGTCCGTTGCTGACATGTAGCATTTGGGGCTATTGGCCTGCATTGTACCCAACCAGCCACTTTGAGTCAGACACATTTAATATTATCTAAGTCACAATCTATAGCCACACACTATAGATGCTCTGGCTGTTTCAGAGCCCTGATGTTTAGCTACGTATTCACAAGAAAGGATATACAGTGGTGTTCACTATGTATGCTCAATGCAGTTGATTGGTTCTTGCAAGGAAAGGTGAGAATCAGGTTTGTGTTCAGACTCACCAAAGTGATTAACCTATTGACATTCCTAGTCCAGATATACACATGATATACTATGGGGAGAACTAAATAGATTAATTTACATATGGCATGGAGGGCAACCTAATTATTTTAGGAAATTTATTTTTATTGCTACTTCCTAAATACCCTCAAAAAGATTGTTGAGTTGCTGAATTGAAGTACTGCTGTCTGTCCAGTGAAGTTATTCTCTTTCACCTGTTAGAGAGGGAGAGCAAGCATTTTGACCCAGCAACATTGAATACCAAAAGTATTAAAGGGACACCATTATTCATGGCACTTGTTCTAGAAATCTACCTGACAGGCAGGGTTACTTAAATTGTATGAGAAGGATATGTCAGATGTGAGAAATGAAGAAGATTTCACTGGATAGATAGATAATGAATCCTCTCTTTATCCAGTAGGTCCCCAGAGCAGAATTTTGTGGAAGTGACTGAATTGACCTACATCAACTATAACAGCAACCTTGTGCGGCTAATGCCTGGAAACATCAATGTGCTGGTTGTGGTCACTGATGCTACAAAGAATGCTTTAATTCAGAAGTTTGCACATGAAGTGTATCCTGTTACCTGGTGAGTAAAGTATGGGGTGGGAGGATATCATGTGGACACTCCACTGCAAAAAACTGGAGTACACTGCACATTGCAAATTAGAAGATCCCAGCACAGTTCCTACTTTGCAACATTAGATATTCACAGATACAGGTGAAACTAAGCATAATGCAGGTGATACTGAAGCTATACCATTTACATTTCACAGAAAGCATCTCTGGGTTCTCATCAAGAATCTTAAAAGTTAGTTTTCTCTCTCTGTTTAAACAGAAGAAAAAGCATAATTTTGCAAAGAATCATTAGCTATTTACTTGCAACAATTCTGTTGAGTACTACTGATTGAAAGAGTTAAGTATATTCATCAATAAATCTATAATAAAAGAAAGTAATGGAAATATGCAGCAAGGTGGAAGATCTAGTTTAGTAAGTGATAGATGAAACACTAATCTGGTTCTTTACAAGTGGTAGCACACCCTTGTTCAAAATGCAATAGCTTCTAACTTAACTTTCAAATATTTTACTTTGAATTTTATCTTTGTTTTGAAAGTACTGTTTGTATTAATGAAAAATACTGTACAAGCTCTGTGCACTTATTAAAATGTACATTCTTTTAAAATTTTGCCATAGGAATAAATCACTACACTTCTCCTTTTTAAACTTATCAAAACATCGGGGGTGGCTGGTGGATCTGTTAGAGTTTGCCCAGGATCCTGCTCGGATTTCCAGTCTACAAGATGAAAGTTACCATACCCAGAACTACATTGGCTATGTGTTGGCATTAAACGGACACCGGAAGTACTTCTGCTTGTTCAAACCTCAATTCTGTAATGGAACCGAGAACAGGAGCGTTCTAAATGGCTTGGAACCAACGCAAGGTGGGAAAAGGCCGATTGAAGCAATGGAAACAAACAGCCCACATCAGTCTCCACCCAGCTCCAATGTATCTGTGAAACGGACTGAGCAACTACTCAACAGACTTCACCTTTGGATGGACAGACTGCTTGAAGGGATTCTGCAACGATACTATGTACCCTGTTGGCCTGAGCTTCACTGATATTCTATAGTTTTGCTGGTAGAATTTTGTGCTGAAATGCACCTGAGCCACAATTGAATAGAGCAGGAATTTACAGCTCTACATTATTTTTCCAGAATATTTTCTCAGTCTTGTTTAGATCTGTGATGCAAAGAGCCATGTAAAGTGAAACAAAAGGACCAGGTGAATCAACAGGTTAGAAAACTGTGTACGTACAAACCTCTTGCTTGGATAAAAAGAGATAAATCTCTTTTAATTTGCACATTAACAAATGAGGAATTGGTAGAGAAGTAGAATTTAAAAACAGATGGCAATGCTATGACAGATTTTGAGCCACTGACCTCACACAAACTTGCATACTAGAATTATTGTAGCTCTAGGTTTTGTTCTTCTAACCCTCCTTTCCCTGTCTTCCTCTAGTATGAAAATCCTACTTTTGCTTGTGCATGTAATTTTGCCACAATATCGTGGGGAAGGGAAGAAACATAGGCCTCAGACCACTCCAACCACAGATATTCTACCTTCTCCGCAATGAAAAACTGACTTCTGTGTTAAAATTGAGTGCTGGTTTCACATTTTCGTGAAGTTATATGCAGCAATTTATTCTAAACTTATACTTTTCTGCCTACTGCATTTCTCAGCTGTATTCTCACCCCTGTTTACTCTATCAATTCCTCAAAATGATAACATTTGCTAAGGTCCCAGTACTCAAAGTTATCACTCAGATTTGAGATGTCAGCAAGCTTTTTTTTTGTTGTTAGGATATCACAGCTGCTATCCTTGTCTGATGTCCAGAGGCACATGCACTTACTTTCCAGGAGCAGTGAATAGATAGTGATCAAAATTGGAAACTTGGAAGAATTTTTACATTCCTCATTCTTCACAGTGTTGCATTGACACCATTTGTGAGGCTGTCTTTTCCCCTTTTTCCCTACCCTCCAATGTCCGAGACAAGATTAGGATAGACCAGGGATTGAATTTTCTGAACCACGTGGCCTAGTGCAACATTATGGTGACTTCATTTGAAGTACTGAGAAGCATTTTGCCACCAATCTTTTTAAAAAATTGTTGTTTTTGTAATCTGAATGGCAGGACACTAGGTTACAAATTGCTGAAGAATATCCACTAAACAGGGTTAAGATACACAGTTAATGCCTCCTAGATTAGATGAGGTGCTAGCAGATTTGAACAATAAATGTTAACCAGTGGATGAAATAATGGAGTCTGCATCTTCCTGAAACAACACTGTGTTTGGTTGCTGTATACAAGTACCTAATGCAAATAATATAAACTATTTAATGTATTTATTAAATGTTAGAAGTTTAGACTTGTATATAGCTGGCTTTACTTGCTGTCTGTATATTCTGTCACAGCAAGAGAGTGGATTCTGAAATAAAGGAAATAAATACTGAAATTGCATGGCATATTGATGAACATCTGATAGGGAAGGGCAAGTAAGAGAGTGCCCACAAGTCAGTCTGACCCCCTCCCCTTTTGGAATGCCAGTGTACTACTAAGATTTCATTATGGTGGTTGGAAGGCATACACAATTATGGCCATAAGTACACCACCAGCTATATTGGGCACAAACAGCAAATGTGTTTTAGCCACCCCTGCAGCAGACACTTGGATTTTTGTCTCTACAGGGAGTCAGTTAGCTCAGTTAGTTGAATAGCTGGTTTGTGGTGCATTGGTTCAATTCCCACACTGGCTGAGGTTACATAAAGAGCTGTCCTTCTCAACCTCTCCACTCACCTGTAGCGTAGCAACCCTAAGATTAAACCACCACCAGTCATCTCTCTCCCTAATGAGAGAGCAGCCCTATGCTCAGGTAGGATTATGGTGACCTTATCTTGGTGCAGTAGGAAGTCTATAATCTGTTTAAGGTCATCCAACCAAGAGTGGTATGGCCTGAGGCAGCTCATGACTAACGAACTCTGCTTGGGGAAACCTAAACCAAGGACATAGATGTCTGGGCCCAAGCAAGAAAGTAAGTTACTTCGCATGGACTCCCTGACCTTTCAGCCCTACACTGCCTGGGAAAATATCCTGTGCCCTTGTCTGCCCAGAAATGAGTGTGCCCCTTATTTCTAAACCAACATGTTCTTTTGTTCAAATGTAAGTATGGTTCTAGCATTTTATTTATTTCAAATGTCCAAGATTTGCAGTTCTTAAAAAAATTTCCCTAATTTTTACCCATTCTTTGTACAGTTCCTAATACTAACCAGATTTCTTTAAAATTATCCTCCACATTTGTGACATTCCTTCTTAAAATAAATACTGCTGGAAATGTTATTTTATTCAATTGGAGTAATTCTATGAAATCATAATCCTGAAGTTAAGTCTCATCCAGGCAGGTCACAGACCATGTTTGTAGGGTTCTTTTTGTCTTTAATGATAGGAAGTTGTGTAGAGTGCAGACCTGGATTCTGTGTTGTATGTACTTCTGATAGATGCATCTGTGAACCTGGATTATGATTTGAGTAACATCAGCTTTTCGTTGGAGATTTCAGTGCATTGGCATTAACCGAGATTGTGTTTGTCAAGCCACAGAACTTTCCATTTAGCACAGTTCTATTTTTCAATTTTCTTCCATTTTTCTTAGGGTCAAGCTCCCTGGGCTTTGAATGCCTTCCGTTACTTTGTGGCCATTCTTTGTGCAAGAACAAATTGATCCTGTCCTTGTTCAACATCTTAGACTATGATCACACATTAGTGACCAAGAATGGGAACTCTGGCTATCTTCTTTCTCCCAGCTTATCCCTCAGGCCTTGAGTCAATTGTTGCAACCTTCATTTTTTCTGGCAAAGATCTGCTAACTCAGTAAAAAACAGGGCAAGTAACCTAGGACCATCTGGTGTGTTGTTTGAAAAAAAGCCAGCTGGTACATTTACTTGTTCGCCCAATTGCTGAATCTGTACAAAATGAGTTATGAAAAATTTTGCAACATGCAGTTAAATTGGGATTTTCACCTCCATCAGTTTATTGTACGCACTGTTGAATGTTTCTGATACTAAATGTCACTTTAAATATTGCAAACTGTAGGCATTTTAAAATTAGAATAAAATTTATATTCATGGATATGTTTAGTTGCACTCAGCATTAACATAAAACAAAATGTTGACAAGCTGATGTCCTTACAGCTGTATGTTATACACCAGTGAGAACTTAATGTGGTTTAGCTAATTGTATATGTCACAGCCACATTGAGGATTGTGTTTGTAATATTCCACATTCATGAAAGAAATTTGAAAGAAGTTCAGAAATTGGTTTTAACTTGACAGCGAACATGTGCTGGATATTTGCACCTTTTTGGGCAAACGAGTTATGTTAGTGTCTCAGTGGACCATAACTTCCGGCTAGGTACAGACTTGCATTGCTAAGTTTACAGTACCCAATACAAAAGTCAGGATCAATATGTGTATTAAATGCCAGGCATCAGATCCACCCTATCCCATGCTGCAGTGAGTGAGGACCCAAACCATAGAATGATTCAACTATCTTTACACCATTACCCTTTCCTTTTTAGCCATACGTCTAGTCTTTGGTTGATTCCATAATTTCAGATTGAAATTCACTTGTATCTAATTTCTTTCCACTCGCTTTTCCTCTAAGGCACTGTGATGTTTGCTGTGATTTGATATAGCAGGAATCCTTGTCCATTCTTTCCCATCCTAACCTAAAGGCACTGTTTAAAATTGCAACTTTGTTACTGTTTTGAACAGTAGGCTACTGGTCATACCTGCGGTCCTAACAGGATGAGTGCTGGCTTTTAATAAATAACTTCAAATCATTTGAGATCTGTGAAGACCAAAAAGATTAATTTATTTTCAGAGTCACTTAATTACAAGCAATCTCAGTAACAAATCATCGCTGTTTATTCATATTATGAAAGTCAAAAGTTACAATAAGAAGGGAATTGGCAGTGTGGATCCCAAAATACTTCTCAATCAATGCTGTGAGTCAGCTGCAGTTTAGTAGGCTGATTTAACGTGGGTTTTTTCAACATTAATGAAAACAATTAAGACAGTACCATACATGACAAGGCATTTCTTGATTATAGATGTCTGCACATTATCACACACAGCATGTCCATTGTAACTGAGGCTTTTGCATGTAAAATACTGCATGCTCCAAATTGTTTAAAGTTTGAATTAATAAAAGGCATTTAAGTCTTTCAGTAACAGTTGCACTGGGTGAGAAAGCAGCTAGTTATTTAATTATTAGAACGAGTGATAATCAATGTGACCTAAACACCATACAAAGTTCAGTGATACTTAACGTTGGGTAGAACACAAAGCATCTCAAAAAGCAGATTGGCAGCTGTCAAAGCCGTGTTACCTGAAAAATACAGACTTGTGAAATTGTTGAAATAAATTGGCATATACCTTTCACCCTTAAGACTTTCCTTTTTATGCTATGTTAGTATTTATCAATATCACCACTGGTAATGGTGGTACTAAAGTGTTAGCATTTATTTCTCAAAGTTATATATGCAAGTTAGTTTTCATAGCTAGTATAATCAGGCAAACTTGCCAGTATGCCAACACATCAGGGACACCACCCACAATTACTACTTTTAATTTACTCAACATTTGTGTGCCAGGTTACCTAAATTTACGTATTCATCCAAACTGTCCAACAGTGCCTCATTCAGAGGACAACTCCTCTGAAAAATGCTGCATTCCCTCTGTTCTACAATGGAATGCCAGTCAAGATTATTCACTCAAATCTCAAAGTGGAGTTTGAGACTACAATGTTTTGATTTAGTGCTGACAATACAACCACATTAATCAAGATATTGTCGACACTTACTTGTTTGTGGCAGTTGATAGTAACCCACAGTAACAATAATAAAACATTTTAGCTTTATTTTCTTACCAGAAGTATCATATATTGGTGAAACCTCAACCAAGTCACAACCGATTACTTTCATTCCCCGACAACCCCGGATGATTTCCAAAGCCTGTAAACACAGTAGTTTTTCAATTCCTCGTTATATTGAATGATTTCTTAAGACTCTGAACAACCAGAACTTTGCTTTTTTTTAAACTTAATAATATCTAGTATTAAAGTCCATTCCCAGAAATATTTTGCTATTCTGTGAACATCAGATAATTGTACAGTTGGCTTAGTGTTAGATCAGCGCATGGTAGTACGCTCGTGTAAGTCATATGCAAGGTGAGGAATTAGGCTCATTAGTGGATTGAGAGCTTGAACTTGTGTTGAATTCTTTCTGCAGGAAAATGGTCAGAATATCCTGAAATGTGTTTGTGATGCATTCTCAGTTATATTTATTGGTTTACAGTTTGGAGCACAACTTGGGGGAATTCTATTTATATTCAGCCAAAATTCACTTAAGACTTGGTTATCTTAACATTCTCAAAGTAAGACATAACTTCAATCCTGTTTTGTATGTGGTCAACAAAATTGTCTCTTCTTGTGGTCCATACCTCTAACTTTTTCTTTTATAGGTGGTTTTTAATAGAATCCCTACAGGTGGGAATAGATCATTCAGCCGAAAAAGTCCACACCAACTCTCCAAAGAGCATCCCACCCAATCTCACTTCTTCCCCCAACTGCCATCCCTGTAACCTTGCATTTTCCCATGGCTAATCCACCTAACCTACACATCCCTGGATACTATGGGCAATTTAGCATGGCCAATTCACCTAACCTGCACATCTATGGATTTCGGGAGGAAATTGGTGTACTGGGAGGAAACCCACGCAGACACAGAGTGATTGTCTATGTGGAGTTTTCACAATCACCTGAGGCTGGAATTGAACCCGGATCCCTGGTGCTCTGAGGTAGCAGTGCTAACCACCTTGCCATGTTTCTCTTTGTTGCTTTCACCTGCATCTCTATATTTCTGTATCTTTCTGTTGCTCATCTTTTCACTGTTTTTCTCTCTTACTTTCTCATTTTACTCCTTATTACTCAATGCCTTGGTTACCTGCTGGGAATATCTCTATTACACTTCCCCTTCTGTTTGCATTGATAGTGCCTGGGCTTGTTATTCTCCTTTCCTGTGGCGTCTCTGCTACCCGCTTTCTCTCTTTGTAATTATCTGTTTGGTATTAATTTGTTCCTGAACAGATAAACTGTGTGCTGTCTAACTGAGGCTCTACTCAAGCCTCTAAAACATAAGATTAGCACATTAGCTGATTTGAAATGATGTTTTAGGAGTTGTGTGAACATGAACAGATAGTGATGTAGTAGTAATGCTCTAGTAATACAGAGGTTAGGGCAAGTACTTTGGTGCCATGGTTTAAATCCCATCCAGTGCAGCTGGTGGAATTTAAAGTAAATTAATAAAGTCTACATCTAAAAGCTAGTCTCAGTAATGGTGACCATGAAACTACAATTGATTGTTGCAAAAACCCATCTGGTTCACTAATACCCTTTAGGGAAGGAAATCTCCCATCCTCACATAGCCTAGCCTACATGTGACATCAGCCCCACAACAATGTGAGTGACTCTTGACTGCCCCAAAGGCAAATGGGGATGGATAACAAATGCTACCTTTTCCAGTTAAACCTACATCTCATGAAAGAAGAAAGGAAAAAAAAAAGTTGAATCAGAACACTATGACAGAATATGCCCATCCACTTGAAAAAGTGAAAGAGCCTAGTATTGTCCTTTCTCTCTGCTCAGTTTTGGCAGACGTTTCACTCGTCAGCTGTGTTTATATAAGAGTAGAGATCCTCTTATTCTGCTCACTTACCTGACTGGGTTGAAGACCTGCAATCTCTGGAGTTCCAGTACCAGGAGCAAAGGCTGGATCCAGGCCATCAATATCAAAACTAATATACACAGGGCCATTCCCCATCTGCTGCCTCACCTCCTTCATAAGGGGAGCAAGGGAACGTAACCAGCAATCCTCTCCAGTAACCACTCGAAAACCCTAGGAATATTAAAACACTAAAGTGAAAAGCATTGATGAAGAATGTTTTTGCTCAAGTAATAACAATCAAAATAAGTTGTCTACTGACCGTTCCAATGCAAGCATGATGAAGATATAGAATTAAGAGTTAATTAATTCTTAATTCTCCATCTTCTTAGTTCAGTCAGACATTCCCTGGTTTTTGTGTTCATACAGGGCTATGAGATGGTGCCTCCCCCCCCCCGGGAATAAATACACAAAATAGCAGAGATTGACTACTTTTCCAACAAACACAACCCAATTTTACTTGTGTTAAGCTGAAGCTGGGTCACCCCCTGTAACATAGTCCTTAGTTGGGAGTTCATGCTTGTATTTTGTTGATATCATATGTTCCCTAACAATGAAGGGAAGAACCATTTGATGGAATGTTGTCAGGTGAATGCTTTCTCATAAAAAGGGAGGTCACCCTCAGCTTTTCCAATTTGCACTGGGAATGGTTTTCAGATGCCTAAAATGTTGAGCTCTTGAGCACTCAGCATTCCCACTTGGAAATATGTTAACATTCCTTCAGTGTCATAGGGTTAAAATCCTGGAACTCCCTTCCTAATGACATTGTGGATGTATCCACCTCAAATTTGTAGATACACCACATCAGTTGTAGAGGTTCAAGTAGGCAGCTCACCACCACCTTCTCATGGGCAATGAGGGATAGGCAATACGACCCAGCCAGCAACACCCACCTCCCATGAATGAATAGAAAATTCTTCTCTTAATCTCTCCATATCCCTCTCTTTTAAGACACTCCTTAAAACTTATCACTTTGATGAAGATTTTTGTCACCTGTCTTAGCAGTTCCTCATCCGGCTTGGAGTCTAGCTCACTTGATAATGTTTCTCTAAAGTGCCATAGACTGTTTTACTATGTTAAGGGTACTAGATGAATGCAAATTTATGTGGTTACAGATCAGTATTAATCTTCAATTATCCAACTGTCAATGTCATTGAGCTGCTCATTGTACAGATAAGGAGAGTCTTGGGTTAAATTCTTATTCAGAGTTCAGGGGATCTGAGCCTGGTCACAATGGAGTGTTGCCACTGGCAAGAGACGCTCTGGCTCTGTGATGAGATGGATGGCCCCCCAGCTTACACTGTGTAGGTCCACAAAAGAACAGTGCTACCTGCGCAAACACAACCTG